AATAATAATAAAAAAATAAAATAATAATAATAAAATTTTTTAATTTAATTTGAGTTAAAATAATTTTAATATTGTTATATTCAATTATGCTATTTTTATAAAATGAACCTATAAATTATTTCAATAATGCAAAACTTAGCTTATCTGATAACTTTAATATAAGAGTCTAATAAATTAAGATCAAACTTAAGTCAATCAAAAAATTCCATTGCCATAAAAAAAATTAGAATAAATTTAACTTTTAAGATCTTGTATCTTAATAGCAAAAGAAAAAAATTAACTGAGCTACAGCTTGGTGAAATTCTTTATGGTCATAGCTATGGTGATTCTTATACAACAATTGCAAAAAATGTTAAGTGTAATAAGACTACTGTCCATGATGTTCTGAAATGATATGATAAAACAGGATCTGCTATAGCAAAAAAACAGTTAGGCCGCAAGCCCATCTTTGGTGCATTGAAACTAGATGAACTTAAAAGAATGGTTATACAGGATACTAAACACCATCGTTTAAGCACCCAAGAAATTAAAGATTTATGGAATAAAGAAAAAATCAATCAGTTTCTATTGTTACAATCTGTCGTGCCTTAAAAAAAGCTAGACTTCATTTATGTGTTGCATGCCATAAGTCGTTAATCTCTAAAAAAAATAAAGATGAATGAAAAAATTGGTCAAAAGACCATTTAGATTAGAATCACAAATGGCATAATGTTGTTTGGTCAGATAAGTTCATGTTTAGGCAGTTTTCAGTAAGTCACAATATACGAGTTTGGCACACCCCTGCTGAAGAGTTTGATGAATTGTGTCTTGTTCTTACCATGGGTCAAAGCCCTGGTCTTATGTTCTGGGCTTGCTTTTCATAGCATAGATTAGGACCGATAGTTCCTATCTATGGCAAAGTAAATGGTAAAGTTTATGTTAAACTTATAAGAAGACATGCTCTTCATACTTTACGTTGACTTGTTCCTAATAGTCAAGATATTTTTCAGCAAGATAATGCTACCCCTCATAAATATTAGAAAGTTAAAGCTGCTTTTAGCCAGACTGGTATTCTCATCCTACCTTGGCCTGCCCAAAGCCCCGATTTGAATCCAATAAAAAACATGTGGCAAGAAGTTGAAAGATGTTTGCAAAATTCTCCAGATAAGCCTACAAGTATTGATGACTTAGAAAAAAAAGTTATAGCAGCTTGGTATTTAATTCCACACAAATTTTATTGTGAATTGGTGAATAGTGTAGTTCATCGAGTAAAAGAATGTTATCATGTTAAGGGTTGCTTACTTAAATATTAATTAATTTCATTCTGCAGTTAGTAACAATATTAAAATTATAGTTTATTCTATTATAGTATGTGCAATATGTATTCATTTACAATACTTATTAAGTAAATGTTCATTTGTAGTAGAAATGGCCCCAAAATCAAAAATAAGATTTAATAAGATACAAGTAAATCCCGATCTGAAAATTGATTGCATAAAAAATCTTAGAAGTTGTACATTACAAAATAAACTTAGTTATTTCAAAATCATATTTTTTTGAGCTCTTTCTAATTTCATTTTTTTTTTTAATGATTTTGATAGTATGCTAGATGTAATGGCAATATATAAATAGTTTCTTTTGTGAGATAAAATCATAAGTAGTCTAGTTTATGTTTGCTATCACTTATAGTTATATAATTTCGATTACGTATTTTATGCTGCTGGTTAGCACTTAGCAGAGACATGAAATTATGCGATTTGTTTTAGTGCAATTCTTGACAAACTGCACTAAATCGCATAATTATATATTAATTTTTGTGTAACTGATAACTCTCAATGAACCCAAATCACATCAAATTACGCTAAGTTACAAATTCTGTGTCCCTGGCACTTAGATACACATACACTCATATGATAGATAAAAAAAGATGTAATGAAATTAGAAGTTGTATCACATGAATATGCTAAATAATAAGCATGGCATAGCAAGAAACATTCTCAGCTAATCAGATTTAAGATTTTATTAATGGTTTAGACACTTGGTTTCACTACGTTCCTGGCATACCAAATCACAAAATATCAAAAATTACACTACTTTTTTAGATTCTTACTTTTATGATGCATCCAACTTTATTAAATATAATATTTCTTTAATTTTAACTTTGAATGCTGGTTTAAATATACACTTGATTTCTATAATTGCAATTTTTCTTTGTTCTTTAAATGCATATTACCAAAATTACAATCTTACTTTTTATTTAACTTACTCTTTTATTTAACTTATTATTTTTTACTTAACTTATTTTTTCTTTAACTTATTATTTTTTCTTTAACATTATTTTTTATTTAACTTACTCTTTTTTATTTAACTTATTATTTTTTACTTAACTTATTTTTT